CCACAATATTATAATTGAAATATATAGTAAAACTCATTGAAATTATTAAAAATTTTGTTTCGTTAACAATTACCATCATTAATAAAGAAATTTTATTTCAATCCCATATATTATTAGTCGATAACGAAAATATAGTTTTCATTACACTCCTTTATAATTTACTTATCACTTGCAATGAAAGAATATTTTGACAGCGCATTGTCACGTTTTGCCAATACAAAATAATTTACAACAACTACTTAAAAATGTCCTGTTTATTGCAAAATATACAGGAAGAACAAAATATAGATGTCTTAATCGATTGAAAACAATATTTTTTGTAATTATAAAATACCATTTCTTTTACTGGACTTCTACAAACAACTGAAATAAATTTCCATCACGGATAGCTGTTATAAATAATCGAAACAGAGATCCTCTCGCAGACAATTCTTATGAGCAACTGAAATAAATATTTTTCATTAACAATTATTATAAGCGACCGAAATGGATTCTCCTCATCGGTAAATGGTAACCGGTAACAAACGAGTTTTCAGTTACGTATAATCATCATTTGAAACCAGAACGTTTAGAAGTTCAAATATTTTCGTCACGTAATTTCCTTTAACACTTATCCCTACTTTTTGTGATTATTATCTTCAACTTAAACAAAAACAGGTTTTGCTATCTTAAGCGATAACAAAAATTAAATTTCATATGAAAAGCACTGTGAATTTAAACAAAATCGCTTATGGATAAAAGTTACAAAAGCTACAGAATATAGTAAACAATTTTGACAATTTCTACAATTTATAAAATTGTAGCATGGAATTGTAACTGCGCATTACCGACACAATAATATTAAATTTGTAATATTTTCAACAATTATGATTAGTCAATTTCTCAGGAATGTGTACACACGCGAATTAAACAAAATATGGCTGAAAGTATGGCACAGATGAAGAGAACATGGAAAATATAGAATAAAAATGTTTTCATCATAGCTTAGTTTTCGAGAGAGAGAAAATCAAATTTTGATAAATTCATCGAATATAATGTACATAATGTTTCTTATCTCAATTCGTCACATACATACATACATACATACATACATATGTATTTTTGAGCTCATTTTTTTTATTAAACTAAACATCGAATGAAAAGTTATTTCAGACTTTTTTGTTTATTGTTATGTAAGGAATGACATATATTCTCACTGAATTTATCCCATTTTTGACTGTACTTTGTTGAATATGAATTATGATCATTATTCTGGTTCAGTTCTTGTGACCGTTCGGACAGCACGAACTGAATCTCGGTATGAGGAAAATGGCAAATAAAATTTTAAAAACCGATGTCGATTGATATAGCAGAAATTGTGTTGTTCTCACTTTCCTAGTTCAATTACGATGCACCACGCCTGTCTAAACTTCATGCTTGACATTTTTTCTTCACAAATCTCCCTTACAGTAAATAGATAACATACTCGTAAATCCATGCGAGTCGATCCGTTCTTAACGAGACCAACATTATTGTAGTCGTACAATTCGTGAAAACGACAAAAATATAATACGCATAAAAATAATAAAAAGAAGATGGTTTACAGAATTTTCAGAAAACAGAGAAATTTCAAATGACAACATATGACAACATAAAGTTGTTGATCGATAGTTTATTAGTATAACAAATAATGTTATATTTCATTTACTAGTGATATATAAACTTTTAAAACATAAGTTATTATACGAATTTGTTTATCTTTAAATGAATATTCGATAAAATAAGCATTGAAATCTAATTTATTCAATATACAATGTACACATAATGTTAAGTGTAATGTATAAAATTTAAGGTTATGAAGTGAGACAGTATACCTGGTGAACAACTTAAGATGAAAGGAAGAAAGTGAATAATGGTAAGAGAAAAATGTACCAGTTATTCGATGGAATGATAGTATAATAACAAGTAATGAATAAACGAATAAAGTTAATGGTTAAACATCGTTATTCATCCCGTTCCATGTGCTCGTCGGAATGGAGAGGGTCGTGCACTTGATATTGAATAGTTCGTACGTGATCGTAAACGGTCGGACAGAATCGGTGGTCTTCGTCAGATTTCGACAGTACTCGATGAGTTGCGGTACGCCGAGCGCAATACGGCCGCCGGAGCCCCCTCGCGATACATAGTGCTGCCACCTAGTGGAACACCTCTCGTTTTCTGTACGACTGCAATCGTTGCATGGAGTCAGTCGTTTCACGAATACCGCGGGTGGTTTGCGCGAATGCTCGCCGCCGCCTTTAACCGTTGCGCGACGGATCGTCCGTCGTTTCGCGGTCCGAGGTTCGACCGCGTGTCTCCGACCGCTATTCCCGTCTAGATTTTCGTGCGATTTTCTTCGTTGATCTGAGTGACAATCGTGAGCGATGTAACCGTGCTCTGACGTCACACGGCTAATCAAGTGCACACACGAACGCAACATGGGCGCGCGCGCGCCTGCCACTCGTATCCATATACACGGACGGCCTGCGTAGCTGCGCGCAGTGTACTACGTACGAACACGTATAGAACTCTGCATACGAGCAAACTGATAGAACACAAAGAAGAGGGAAACATCATGATCGCGAAGGACAGAGGAGAAAGAACGGAAGTGAAGAGATAAGAAAGAAAGGGAGATACACATAAGTATATATAGGTATATATATATATATATATATATATGTATGTATGTATATATATGTATATATATACATATATACTTATCGGCAATCCCACTCGCAACGGAAACGGAGAAAGATTACGCCTAAAAAGATGAAGAAGAAGAAAACGAAGAAGTTGATGATGAATAACTATGATGAGGATGATGATAACGATGACGATGATAAAAAAAAAAGGAATAAAGAGAAACTAAAAGTGTTTATTATAATACCGTTGCTGTTCCCGCGTGTGAGCGAACTCGCGCGCGCATGCGCGCGCGCGTGCAAGAATCTCATCGAATTTTTCTATAGACGCATGTTGTACGTAAACGTAAGTTTCTATCGTTGTCTCGCAGAGGTCAGAAAAAAAATACATGATCGCGATTAATATTACTGACAGCATTATTAACGCGCAACCGGTACACGGAGCACGACGGACAACGACGACGACGAAACGACACGAATCGAGGCACGAGATCGATCGACGATTATTTCACCTTGTAAAGCTCGTCGATCCTTCTTTCTATCGAAGTACGACGTAATCTGATGGTCCGTCCGGCTCACTGTCTAATTACTCCGATACCCCCTCTCGCCCCCTTTTGTTCAGTTTCGATCCCCTACCGTGCTGTAATATGTGCAAATAATTCGATAATAATCAAATGGTTTGTACGCATATAATATACACATATATTTTCGATACTACTTTGTCGATTGGGCAAACCGCGAAACTCCTAGAAGCAATAAAAAAAATAAAGTGAAAGAGAGAGAAAGNTAAGTATATATAGGTATATATATATATATATATATATATGTATGTATGTATATATATGTATATATATATATATATATTTATTTTTCTCGCCCACCGAAGAACCAGTGTTAGAGAAAAGGGGTGAGGCGTAAGACGTATACAAGGAGGACATTTCACACTTGCACACGTCTGGTACGCGCTCATGAGCCTTTCGCTTTAGAAAATATTACGCGTTCCGGTGTTACGAAGAAAACTACTTGATGGTAAACATCGATGTTCTTTTTGTTACGTTCAAGATTCTCGGGCATCGACTTTTCTCGAATGTTGTTTCCTCTGTGTCTTGTGGTCTCGTGCGTCGGACAAATATTTCGAATTTACGACACGTGCAAGTCGAAGCTATGAAATAGAATAAAGAAGAAAGAGGAAAGGAGCGAGAGAGAAGTATCCACATCTCGTGGCGCCCCGTTGTGTTTTTCTACGGAAAGCTGGGCTCGGAACCTGCATGAACTTTCGGAGTGGAAGAAAACCAAGTACATACATACAACCAAAGAGACTTAATTCCCGTGATGGTGAATGGTCGAATTCTTACGTGTTTCGCGTGGCATAATCAGTGAAATCGGCGAACCAAGCGAGTGAACCTTGAATGAACGATCTCCGATGGATGGATAAGTTTCATTCCAATCGAACCGGTCAGTCGATGTATAATAATTTCCTGTTGATTCTTTATCGTTCGTTTCTCTTTCCTATCTCTTTGCTGTTTCACGAATTTTCGTCGCGAAGAATAAGTGCGTATGCGTGACACAATTACGAGCGTAGGCTGCTCGCGTGATAATAAGAAAGTGGGGTCGCCGCGTTCCGTTTTTATTAACTTGTCGGACGGTCCAATGCTTTGAGAGTCAAGTTCGTCGCGCTTCGCTGTACGCGCCGTGTCTGGCGCGCGCATACTTCCTCGCGCTTTCAGTTGCGCTCCGCGACAAGCTTTCTACTCGAAGTGAGATGAAACGTTTCCTCTCTATGTTATCAGGAAATGCTAGCAGTGGTAACACTTAATTATGTCGCAATTACGCTCGATCACATTCTCGAACAATTTCTTCATTTCCTTTTTTTATTAACAGGATTTTTGTATTGTTCATCGAAACTTGTTGCTTTCAACAACATATTTCTGAGAGTGTCTTGGGGTTCTCACGTGCAAACGATTTTATCTAGAGCTAATCCTGCTTCTGGAATTTACGATATGTTTTATTATTATTGATATACCGTGGACAGATTTTCCGAAGTATATTGAATTTTAATAAGACATGATGCATAAAACATTGAAATCCACACTTTTCATATATTTTGTTATGTAATCGTAGAAAATCGGGTCTCTAATTCCTGTCGCTTCTGGTTTTCTCAGGAGAGGACTTTGTTGGTCTAATCGAGTGTTTTCCGCTTCTTATCTGCGCACATAATTTCTCGATATTTTGCTGAATTGTCAGTCAGTTTGTGGTGGACGAGTTTTTAAATTCCATAAGAGAACCATGCCCGTGGGTAGAGACCTTAAACGTCGACGACAATATCGATCAACTTTTCTTAAACGTGCCTCGGTCTACATATGTTCAGAAGCAGAATGGGGTGTGGACATGCGCGTATATACAGAGCATTATATTAGTAGTGCGACGCCATGTGATGCTTGGGATTACGATATATAGCTGTAAGCGATTTACATGTCGAAAAATACAATTTGTCCATGAGACATTTAACATTAATATCGAGACTGATACGTGACTATCTATAATTCGTCACGATGATAAAGGTGAATACTAACATTTCGAAAACGACATACTATTGGCATTCTCCAGTATTTTAACTTCACCACATCTATCCGCTATATTTCTATCGAAAATTCTCAAATCATTATACCTTTTCGAATGTCATAGAAACCTACCTGACCGACACGCGATCTGCGTAAACGCGCCCCTATTCGGAGACGATCGACGCAGTCAATTACGAAGGTTAGAACTACGCGAAAGAGTGCACTATGGTGCTTACGAGATTATTTGAAGCCGACGATTGTTAGGATGCGCAACATTTAGACAAAGAAAGTGTACTTTTTCTAACATTCGATTGCTCACTGTTTTACAGCATTTTATAAATTATAATTGTAACGCTAATAATAGTTAGGCATTTTGTTTGTTTCGACCAATGGAAAAATTGTGGTTTAGCAAAACACACGTTTTATGGTTCGTTATTATAATCCAAGGGATCCTAAATAAGATATCAATTTTACGTTGCGTTGAAAATGTACGTGACAAGATTATTACATCTTTGAGAGGCATTGAAAAGTAACGTGATTTTCTAATTTATTATCTATCACACTTCTGTTCATTGATACCTGCTGTATTTTTCAATTATTGCTTTTTTAATTATTAGGATCGACAAGAATTACACCTCGCCGAATCTGTAGAAACGGGAACGTAAGGACCGCCAGGGGACTGGACAGCTCGATTTCGGTTCGGCGATTCTTAAAGAAAGGAAGAGTCGTCTTTCACTGAATATTTATAAGAGATTCTACGTTTGGGAAAGCGGTGGAAAACCGATCCGATCGTTCCTAAACAGTGGCAACAGTGACTGAGCTCGTGCAGTAAAAAAGCAAAGAGAAACACAAGAGGGACATCTAAGGTTTCTATTACACGCTGATAGATTACGCGTGTATATTCGTGGCAAAAAGGAGACACAAATGTCTCCCCAGTTGTACACAAGTTTGTGAAAACAAGTGAAGTGAGAGTAGAGTTCCGGCGAGAAGTAAACGGCTAATGTTCGAAGGCGAGAAAGAAATGAAGGTGACGATACTCGGTCGATAAGAAGCGTCCTGTAAAGTGCCAATGAGATAAAAAGTGTACTTTCCCCCCCGAATATTTCCGTGACAGTGATTTGCTAAGTGACAGAGAGGCAGTGGGCAGTGTGACGGTGACAGTGAACAGTGGCAGTGCCGTGAGTATTTCGACAAAGGGATCGAATGTCAGTGAACGAAGGCGAAAGTAAACGATAAAACGATGCGTTTAAGAACGCAGGTCCAGTCGGTGAGGGTTGCACGAGGAAAAGAAACTGTTCGTCTTCGTTGATTTCGAATTTGCCTCGTTTCGATTACCGAAGTCCGCTGAATTGTGCCAGTGTGAAACGTGACAGTTCAAACGTAATATTATTTATACTTGATTTGATTTTTCTTCTTTAGTCTGTATATGCTTCGGTTTTTCGTAATTCTGGTTAATTGAATGCGACGAATTAAAGAGTTGTTGTTGGTTACCGGAGGAAAGACAGAAAATACAAGGATCGTAACCTATTAATGGATTTCGGTAGTGCCGGTAGTGAATGTTAGTGGTGCGTTCGGTTATTGTCGGTGGTGGTATCCGCATTGTTGGTGGTGTGGGCGTGCGGTGAAGGGTGGTTGTTGTGATGTTAGCAGATCGTGCAGAAAGAGACGACTGTAACTCTTAACTTATTATCACGGATCTCCCTCGGCAGTTTGACGCTACAGCCATCCTCGATGAGAGGAGGCACATGTCCATTGCTGTCGCTGAAAATGCAGGGTGAGTGATTAGTTTTCGTTTCTCTTAGTTTTTCTTTCAGTTTCTTTTTACTTTCACTCGACAGCTCGTTTCGTACAATGTTCAATGCGAATGCTGTATTTTTTTTAAACGGTTAGGTAATTTAAGGTCGCCGTTCTCTGATGTATACGTCGCCGTTAAAGATGTTTACAACGTTCGAGGAATTCTTTGTCTGTTATATAGGTTTATTATAAAAATAGCTGAAGCGTATTTGACGACACAAATGTAGTAACGTGTTATTAACACGTAGAGTGTCGCGTCGATAGTATTTAACTAATTTTTTGTTAGTTTTCAAAATTCATTTTTATCGCAATAGATTCTGAAAAAACCGAATTTACGAGGATATTTTAAATGCCGAAGAGATAAAATACCGTCCACGGTATGTGATAGATTTTATCTCTCTAGTTCAGTTTCGTTAAATAAACTTCATCGATATTGTGGGAAGATTTAGAGTTGATTTTTCGGCACTCAACGTGTTAACATTAAAGATAACATAGAGTTAATACACGCGTGTTTCGTATTTACTTATGTGTGCAATAAAAACTTATTTATGAGATAAAGAGTGGTACCTGTACAGAGCACAGCCAATCAAGGTAATCAAATCTGGCCTTACACCAACGATGTTCAATAGTTTGTTAAGAAACGACACTTTCTGGCAAGGATAATTATACAGAAAAGTGAAAATCCCGGCGTTCTCTCCTTTTTTCCTTCAGACATATTTATCACAACTATAGTTTACCATTTTTCAGACCTTTCTGGTAATGCATGTCATTCAAAAAATGGCGTAATATTAAACATTTCTACTAAATTTACGGAAAATATTTACGTAGTTTTCTTTTGAAATCATAATTTTTTTTTCAATTTCTTTCCATACGATTTTCTCACGTGGCTTCAAAAATGTCGAACATTGCATTACATCTTTTCGTGGTGGTGGTATCGTTTCATTAATTCCAAAATTGTTTGTAAGTACTATCAATTTCAAATATATTTCATTTTAGAATGTTTCACTGAGATATTGCTGTCTACTTAAATTCGTCGTTTAGTGTTAACCAAGAATCGAATCACCATTAACGTATGTTTATTTTTAAGTAAAACTAGCTACAGTATATAATAGCAAAGTATGTATTTATATCTTCCTCGCAAGATCTGCGTCTACGCTGTTTGAAATATTTAGGGTATTCAATTATGCAATATAAAGTGTCCTAGGAAACTAGGTCGATGAAAGGTGTTGAACATTTAGTACGAAATACACGAAGGTTATCAAAGAAAATGTGACGCTATTACACGTTTCAATATTCCATATTGTTGGCATGGACGTAATCGTAACGACGGATATTGCAGTAGTAATTTTAAATCAATGAATTACTGATTTTAACAGAGATACTAGATTCGTTCACATTGCAATGGAAAATTTAAAGTATTTCATTAAAGTTTACGCAGGAATTCGGAAGTTGTAGAAAAACATGGAAAATTAACTAGAAATATAATGGTCTTTTAAAAAGAAATGTTGATAAATATCTGAGCATTATTCACAATTATATCATAAAATTATAATTAATATATTATTAATATTATATAATATTAATTAATAATAATTAAAAATAATATTAATATATATATATATATATATATTAATTATAATTAATAT